TGAAACAATGGAAGTCATCTTGTAAACATATATTAATTAAGAGGGCCGGATTTCGGCGGCTTTGCCGGCATCATCAGTTTTGCAAAATATGGCAAAAGTCGGGAGTCAGCACCAGAACACTGTCACAGTGCCGCAACACAGTGAGAATACATTATCAACAACGCAGTGAACAATCCACTGTCTCCTGACTTTCGCCATTTACTGACTGATGACGACGGAAAAGCTGTGGAAAGTCGGCTCTCAATCTAACTTGTCAAGATGACTTCCATTATTTCATCCTTTCTCGTATTAGATTGTTTCCTATTTACACGTGCGAGATCTCCTGGCATCTGTGGTAGAGAAGTAAATGTGAATGTTTAAGGACAATGAATGGGAAAGAAAGATCGCGTGCAGTCCATGACCCGTTTGTTAGGGTACTACTTCGGCATTCCCCTCGTGATGATTGAAGACACTACGGAAAACTACCGATCAGAGCCGCCTGCCATTAGAATTCTCTTCCAGTCAGCGATTGTACTCGATCTAGCTAGTGCCGAAAATTCTACCTTCGTCGGGATTCGAACCTAGGACCACCGAGGCAGAGGAACTGTAATGACATCAGTTGATGCCCTGAGCCACCTCACCTGGTATCTCATAGGCTCTCCCCTGTACTATATCACATTTGCCCCTGGTATCCCTTAGCCCCATTTCAGTGCTTGTACCTTAGTTCTGAGTACTGGGATCTATTCAGTTCAATAACACACACGCAGACAACTCCGCACAGAGCTATCAGTCACGCGAAGAGATCATCGATGGTTTAGGGAGTACACATGAGGGACTCGAAATGCCCACCACGCCACGATCTCATTATAAAATATTCATGCCTTACGTGGATTTCAAATCCCCAGACTTAGTTTCTACGTACTTGGGTTTACTTGCCGAAAGCCCCTGTTTTAAGAGACCGAATCACTTGACCGTTTGTATGTGTTGCGGTTCTGTAACGCCATAATTTAATAAAACAACTAAAATAGACCTTTTTCGTGCCTACATTGTATTTAATGTGCTATGTACAATAAATCTACGTATCTTAATGACATTGACACCAAGACGCCAAAAAAGCAAACAAAGTACATTTAAGCATAATATGTATCTACATCGAACTCAATATTGAATAATTTTACAAAAAATGTTGCTAACTACAAAAAATGTTAGAGGACAGAATCGAAAACCAACAACGTCTCAACACAATTGTTTAGTTTTCTTGCTATAATATTTATGTTGCATATTTATGTTATATTTGTGTTTTTAGTAAAGAAGTTGGTACATTTTCACGTTTTTGTGACTTTCGTTTCCTTAATAGAAGATATGACATTTGACTCTAAGTATATCATTGAAGAAGAAAATATGGTTATACATCCAAATTTTCATTAAAAAATTTGGAGCCATTTATTGTGATATCGACATTTGATCGTTTCTGAAAATCTACAATTTTGAGCTCACAAAACTTCTGAGACTTCGAAACACTTTATAAGAAATCCCTTGTACTTATTCCCTTGTACCCACAAATGCAATAAATTTTAAAAACCGCAGTAACGTTTAAATTAGCAACAGGAAATATATTTCAAAATAAATACATTTGTGTAATTTGTGAAATATCAAAAAGTTACATCAAAATGGAGTTGTGGATATGTTTCTTCCATTGAACATAGTTCTATGCGTTCAAAAAGTTTGGAATACAAGTTGAAGTCGTTCTTGAGAAAATCTTGTTTTTATTCTTTTTAACTCTAATAACTTTTGAATTGCTCTTATTTCACTTCCAATTGCACGAATATTGCTCATATTCTTTTAACAAATTGTATATGACATTAATTAAAGTACTAATTTTGAAGAATATGTTTAATTTGAATAATATATATCTTCAATGCCTGAAGGACGGCAAGAAATTAGAAACTTGTCAGCAATTAGAAACTCAGTTGTCAAAACTTCAGAGATAAAAATGAAAATCAGATCTGAGTCATATTTATGCGTATATCATTGTGTTCTAGCACGAAATTTAAAGAAAACTTGTGGGAATACATCACATACTTTCTCAGATAATTTATTACTTTTGCAATTTTCCAAAAATCGGAGAGAAAAGGAGACATGCACAATATTTTAAGTGTTCATTGTTCTCTACTTGAGAAAAATGTAAGGAAAACATTCTGAGCTATTTTCGAGAAAGCGTTCTTTCAAAAAATTGCATTAACTTTAAGTAAAAATAACACGAAAACTACTCTTATTATTTTAAAAATAGATTTTAAAAAATACAACGGGTTTTAGTTTTTTTAATATTTTATTTTCAATATTGTATTTTTGTAAAATACGAAACTAGGTCAATAAATTATTTGTTAGTTTGTAGATTTTTGTAGTAGTGTATTTGTAAGTTTGGTGTTTGTAATTTTTATTTGTAGTAGTGAAAAGTAATTTTCAAAACTTTTGCTACTTTTGAAAGTACTGAGTTCACCGAGAATTGGACCAGCATCAGGTTTCTACTCTGCTTTGCTACATAGAAAGAAAACATTTAAAGAAAACAAACGGCCGTTTTTGAGAACACAATTGTAAAATGGGTGATCTGGGTGGTCCGGGTGACGCCGCGTCGAAGGCTGAGTTGCCGACCGAGGACAGCCCAGATCACCCACATGACTGGCCGCGGAAGCCTACGACTTCACAATTGTAAAATGACCAAGATTCCTCGCAAAATTACACGTAAACTATTCATATTTTCGAAAAAGTGTAAATGACCTTCTTTCAAAATTTGACTTTCAACAACATACTTCATTAAAGAAAAACTATCTTCAATACGTTATATTTAGAAAGACACCGAAAAAATAAACTTTTTAACGAATGTAAGACCTACGAGTATACCAGAGCTTGTTGATGTTGTTTATGTACGTATTAACACGCGCCCAGACAAGTTGACGGACAGATTTAGGGACGAACGTATTTTTGTAACTAAAACAACAATGGTTTGGTATCACAGGCTGCAAAATTTCATATTAATTAATCATACTAATTAATATTACATAACATTCTCTAAATTGCACTTATTATTCCGTTTATACGTAGGTATACGAGAAAGTAAAATTAAATACATTATCCCTAACTCAACTTAATTATTAATTAATTATTATAATACTATAATTAATTATAGCATAATATTATAATTAATTGTACTTGTAAAAAGAAAAGTTTTAATATTTTAACTCAAGAAAAATATATAGGAAGTCTATAATTTAATATCCATGGGAAGTAATTTGTTAAATTATTAAATTTGTTAAATTTGTGCAATATCCATTGCATTAAATTTCGACTTCTCTCCATACGAATGGTAAGTATAAGAAAAATATACCGTAATATTTTGACAGAAATAAGAATTTTTTAGAGGTTGCGACACCCAAAAAAGTTCTTCAAAAGACTACTCTACTCTAACCAGCAAACTTGCAACTTGCTTTTCATGAAGTTTCTTATTCGATGAGTGTCTTCAATGTAAAAATAAGAGCTAATAGACCTCTACCATAAAGAAAAAATGAGGTACATTTGTTTATTAATGTTATGTGTTTTAAAACTTCAATAATATTCACCATTTTCATTAATATGTTTTAAAATATTATTTATCAATTTTTGTAATTTTAAACAGAAAAAATAAGTAGATTCCAACAAGAGTGTTCGTATTCCACCATGTGTACACAAATAGGTCAAAATGGAGAAAATAGGGAAATTATTTAGGAAATAATTCAATATAGGAAGTGTATTACTACTTTCATTCGTGTGTCAAATAGAAGCCAGAAAAAAATGTTGATGTGAATATCGATTGATCATCTAGAGATGTTCTGTTTATACGAAGTCAAGTGAATCTCTGCTTCCCTATACTTCATTAGCTTTCTGTTAAGAGTAAATTTAATTTTAATTTTGTTTGTATAATTCACTACATGCAAGATATGCAAGTTGATAATTTTTATTCAAATCTGAATGTACCCGTAGTATGAAATTCTTGAGCATAAGCGCTTGATAATGATGTTTTCATCATGGTATCATCATACGAGAAATATATGATTCACAAATTCATTGTATATTATCCGCATATACGAGATGCAAAAGAATTTAAACGAGCTATTGATATATATATATATATATATATATATATATATATATATATATATATATATATATATATTATATGCTCATAATGTGATAGTTCATTCACAAAAGTATTTAGTATTATAAGTGATAGTCGGAAATAAATTAAAAACATGTAATATAACTTTTGTTGTTTTATTGTATCGGAAATAACTTTCGACACTACACACATTTATTTTTTTAATTTACCTGAATGTTTTTCTTAAATTAATGTGTTGGAAGATGAAATTAACATAATGATTCAAAAATTTTAGATTTATTGTTGATGATAGGATTTTTTTATAATTGCTCTTCATGAAATTCAGTTCTCAGGGGTGAGGTAGAGAATAGAGTACACAATCCGGGAGAACACCATGAAAGCGATAAATGTATAGAAAATAAATGGGTTTTATTATTGGTAGGAATGAAATAAAAGCGATATTTCATCCCTAACCCCTTTCAGCGTACAGGTCCGTCGTTACGAGATCAAATGAATAATACAATACAATACAATATTAGAGGCAAGAAATGTATAACCTTAAGAAAGAGGTAAAAAAATATTATTTTTTATAAAATAAGATATATGAACAGAAGTCTCGGTCATTAAGATATACTGCAGACGGAAATTTCATTGCGTATGGTTTTATTCAGTGAATTCAAATACTCAATAACGTTTCTCGCATAGTAAATTCAATTTCATATCACCAATGAATATTTTTAATGCGGAAGGGTGGGCGCGCAGGGAGAGAGGCCTCGCAAAGCGGTGGTGCGAGCTTCATGGGTGGGGGAGGGCGCTTCGAGCGGCGCAGGGGCGCAGTCGCCACAGCCTCCACGCGGGCGAACACCCACGAGGCGGCGCGGGTGCTTACCGTGCGTCAGGATGTTGATGGTTTCGTTGTGGAGGTAGAAGAGGCTGTTGATGCATCCCCAGAAGGTGAGCAGAGGCCGGTAGCCGGTGAAGATATAGGGGTTGAACTGCAGATGCGGTGGCATGTCCCGAAAGTGCAGCAGGCCGGCCCGGCGTTTGCCCGTGTGGGCGGGGATCGGGTGCGCC